CATGCCTACATTGACACATAGGCAGGAAGTTACTGAGTTATAACATGAGATTGTTTGATTAACCTTAATCCTATACAGGGGTGTATTCAAGCCATTTACCTTTTCAAATAAATAGACTCAAGCTTTTGCGTGGTTAGGTGAAGTGAATTCTTCACATGTTTTTACATATGACCTTCTGTAACCTGCTGTGCCATAGATCCCTACACAAAGGACAACAGGAGGAACCTTAACCTTTTACTCCTACAGTACTAGGATGCTTTGAGTCCACTCATCCCCTTGAGGGAACAGTCTCAATACAAATCAATACCAACTTGTTCTGAAAGATCACCTTTGTCCACTTATGAAGCATCTCTGCTCAATAGAAACTGTGTCATGCAGGATGAGAATGTTCCCCATTGACAGAATATGAGTTTTCAGTGAGTGGAATAGTGAAGGGGAAAATATCTAAAATCCTATAAAATCACAGTTTACAACTCAACTGAATTAATCCATCCATCCTTCCTTCCATCCATCCATTAAATTCTGCTTATTTGAAATAAAGTCACAACTAAAGTCTAAAAGGGAAACTAAGACAACCATTTCCACAGTGACTCTCTCCAGCTCAAGGTTGCAGGATGCTAAAAGTGTCCCCAGGCCAGAAGGAACAAGTAGTCAGAGGTGTCTAGAAGTCACAGATGCCCAAATTAACCCAAAAGAGCCCTTTCAAAGTGGAAGAGCAGTGGCTCTTTTTTAATCTCCTCTAAATGATTTTACACCTTGTCTCTAAGGGTCCAGCTGCCTTGACACAAATCTTGTTGTTCAGTCCTATGTCATATCTTATGATCAAGCTTAAGGTAGAACAGACTAAGAAATTAAGAAGTCTGCTTTTTAGCAGAGCTCTTTATTCAACTTGACACACCAGGGTATTATTCTCATTGCTGCATATGAGACCTCAGCTCCATCCTTCAGTCTTGATCAAGACTCAAAGATACTGGAAGTCCTGTTTAAGGCAGAGCGTCACCCCTGAACTCAGAGAGTAGCCCACTTTTTCTTGGTAGATTGTTAGCTTCTATCATATTCTTACAATTCAAGAATATCAGTATTATTACATATACCTTCTTTTCATACTGCACATCCTTCCTCCTTAGCCTTGATTGGGTGTGGTAACAGCCCCATTTGATTTTACTCAAATGTGTACATAATCAAGTGTTAGTTCATATCCCCTTAATCTTTGCAAGGCTGGAGGGATCTGATGCCTATTTCCAGGGGTCAATAGGTGAGATGTTAATGGTATCCTAGACAGGTCGCTAGCCTGTCAGAAGGGAATGATTAGATGTAAGAATAATAATTCATGCAAATATTCACATGAATGGTTAAGCTCTGCATTGTATTATAACCCAAAATAAGACAAGGAAATGTTTTATAGATCTGTATATTCATCTGGACATTCTCAGCACATCAACAGGAGTAGTTCAATAATGGTGTAGTGTTGCGTATCTCTGTACTCCTTTAATTTTTGATACATCACATTCATAATATTCTACCATGGTTTCTATCTGACCTTTATACCCTAAGCAACCCTCTCTGCAAAGTGGAAGGAAGGAACTCATTGTTTGCGTGGAGATGGCCTGCATTACAATTTAAAAGCCCTTTGTCTTGCGCCATGCTGGCAAATGAGTTTGGACAACCTCTAAACAAAAACTGTCAGTTTCCATTTAGCTTCATTGGGGACTGCAGGGATTTGGCAGGGAGGCAGAAGTGTCTTCCATGTGGATCCTCATACTCATTTAGGCTCATTGTTATATGTGCTAGATGGAGATGGTGTTTTGCTTTCTGAACTCTGCATGCATTTTAGTCATTTGTCTGCAAGTCATAGAAAAGTCATACATTTTTCCCGTGAATTCAGTATGGATTTTGATGAGGTGATCCACACATTTCCTATTCAGCCAGTCTTTCAGTAATAAGGGTGACAGGTGCCAAAAATGCCAAAAGGGCACACAAAAAAAAATATTTTATCTTCCTTTTGCAGATCAGTGATCACTGATACTCTCATACACACATTTCCAGAACACACACTTTAACATCCAACTTGTCTGAAGAGTTTAATATTTTAAAATAAATCCAAGTCAATTAAAAAAAAGAATACAGTGTCATTTTGTATTAAGAATCAAACACATTTTTTCAATACAATGTTTGTAGTTTTTATGACGGATCACATTACCGATGACATAAAAACACATTTACTGCAGTGCAGCACTGACACAAATGATTGAGGAAACTGTTAGAATTTGCTGAGCCACTGATGTAACACTAGAGCCCCCTTGTGGTGAATGTAAAATGTACATATGATCTGAGTTTCAAAATCCTGTAAGTCTTTGTGACTAGTTTTGTGTTTTTAAAATAATATTTCCAGGCCCTATCAGCAGCATCCTGGTGAACAAATATGGGAGTCGTCCTGTCATGATGTTTGGAGGATTCCTGTCTGGAACTGGATTCGTTGCTGCTTCTTTCTGCAACTCCGTTGAGGCGCTATATTTTTGTGTGGGTGTAATGGGAGGTTTGTGGTTTTTTTCTTTTACTATTTTTATATTTTCATATTTGGTCATGTGGAAATCAAGTGTTCACATACTTGACATTTTTTTTTTCTTTTGGTAATATTTTTTTAGGTTTGGGATTGTCTTTTAACCTCAACCCAGCCCTCACTATGATTGGAAAATACTTCTTTAAGAGACGGCCTGTAGCTAACGGGATTGCCATGGCTGGTAGCCCTGTCTTTCTCTCTACGCTGGCTCCTCTTAACACCTGGCTCTATGACCAATTTGGTTGGAGAGGAAGTTTTCTAATCCTGGGCGGCCTTCTTCTTAATTGCTGTGTGGCTGGCTCCCTCATGCGACCAATAGGACCAAAACCCAAACCTGCAGAAAAGACCACTGAAAGGAAGAGTATTTTGCAGACCATTAACAGCTTCCTGGACCTCACTTTATTTAAACACAGGGGATTTTTACTCTACATTATGGGCAATGTTGTCATGTTGTTTGGTTTATTTGCTCCACTGGTGTTTCTTTCCAATTATGCAAAGAGTAAAGAAATCCCTAAAGAGAAGGCAGCGTTTCTTCTCTCTGTGTTGGCTTTTGTTGACATGGTTGCACGGCCCTCAATGGGCATTGTAGCCAACACTAAGTGGATTCGGCCGAGGATACAGTACTTCTTTGCGATTTCTGTCTTGTATAATGGCGTGTGTCATGTTCTTGCTCCATTATCAGTAGACTACAAAGGCTTTGTAATTTATGCCATCTTTTTTGGATTTGCCTTTGGCTGGCTGAGCTCAGTGCTGTTTGAGACCTTGATGGATTTGGTTGGGGCCCAGCGCTTTTCAAGTGCTGTTGGGCTGGTCACTATTATGGAGTGCGCGCCGGTTTTGTTAGGGCCCCCGTTACTTGGTGAGTACAGATATCACTAAAAAAATATACTTTTCATTTTTATTCAATTTCTCAAACAGAAAGCTATCAGACAAAATAATAAATTATGACCTATTTTGTCTTCACAGGAAAGTTCAAAGACATCTACCATGATTACAAGTACACGTACCAGGGCTGTGGGATTGTTCTCATCATCTCCAGTGTCTTCCTGTTTGTAGGCATGGGAATTAACTATCGACTGCTGGACAAGGAGAAAAAAGAAGAGGAGAGAAAGGCCAGGATGGGAGTTAGACAACCAAATGCCAGCAGGGATAACTCTGCCAAAGAGGTTGGAGAGGTTAGGAACAGTGAGGACACTGTTTAGTGCTCTATTACATCCCTGCTTGCATTTTATAACACAATCTAATGTTGTTCAAAGTTATTTTTCTGTGAATAACTTCACATCAACATGTCTCTGTTTCATTATATGCTGCTTTCAAACAATGCCGGTGATATCACAGACCTTTTATTAGAACCCTTTAAGCTGTATTAAACTGTCAACATAAAATACCTCGTATGCATTATTCACTGTTTGCTTGTCCTACAAGATGACATTTATCTTTAGTCAGGGGTTTTTAAGAATGTTTTTCACTTTGCATAACTATATGCCAGTTGTATTTTAATATGTACCAGGATCACAGCAAAGCCTTATATTTTAAAATAAGTTTTCTTGTTTATTTTTTGGAGTGCACCACACAGTCTATTTTTGTAGATTAGTAAGTCATTTCTCCACCCCTCAAGCGTTGTTCGTTCCTATAAGATATTCATTCAGTATTTGATTTATCTTGTAACCATGTTTGTAATATAATTGTTCAGCCAATTAGGATTTTTTTTGGAAGTTAATACAATCTTGAAGCACTGCTATGTTTGCTAACATAATAGGAATATGTGGCACCATCTGCAGTTTGTTGTATTTTCTGTATATATGGAAGTTACCTAAGAAAAAAAATAAAAATTTATCAAAACTGTCCACTTCATTCATTGTGTTTCATAACCCACATACAATAATACATCTGCCCATTAAAGATGCATTAAGTCACATTTCCTCTAATAAAAAGAGCATATGAGAGAAGATTATTATGCCCATCCATTCATTCTTTATGTAGCCCTTAGGGTGGTGGGTAGCTGGTGCCAATGTCCAGCATTCATTTAGTAAGAGACAATGCACACCCTGGAAACTCCACCACTCCATCACAGGGCAACACAAAGTCATATAGGATATAATGCAGATTCACACTTGAGGACAATTAGAATTCTTGCTTAAAATTGCTTCAGAATTATGCATTCATTACAAAAAACAGAACAAAATAAATCACAATCTCTATTTGGAATATGATAAAATATTAAAATCGTCAAGTAACTTTAAATATTAGTGCAAGACTTAAGTCACTTGTTGAAATTTTACTTTAGACTTTGTAGAATATGAAATAAGATCAAATAAATCTTGCCACAGTTATCACCAGCCAATGCCAGGATATATTTGATTCTTTTGTTACCATATGCTTAATTAATTTGTCAAAACATTCGACGTTGTCCGATAATGGATGCCTCTTACCAGCTTTCCCCAGCGCCAATAACGTCCGTGACGCAGAAGTCTGTCACGCGCTTGCAGAACGGGCGGTTAGAAACCGTTAGAGGCTAGCGTTTGAGCAGGTAAGATAACTGTAAATGTTATGCAGTTATAAACTTTCATGACATCTGTTTAGAAACAATGACCTACTCTGGTGACTATTTTGGCTACTTCTTAGTGAGAAATGTATTCACTCTAACCTCCATTAGCAAGCACTCTAATAATATCAAGTGAAGTCCATAACGATCCTAAAAACCGAATTCAAGCTAACCTCTGAACTAATGCAGTATTTCGGTCGTCTCTGTCTTCCAAAAGTGTATATATTTTCACATTTTATATATATTTTTTTATATATAAGAATATATATAAAAACGTTGTTGTCTTATTTTGTGCTGTTTCTCTCAGTTCAGGATGGACAGAGATCGAGGTTTTAGGTTCAAACTTTTGGTGCCTCCCAGAATAAGCCACAGCCATATAAATGCTGTCCGTCCTCAAGGAACAGTAGGGAACCATCTTCTAAATTCAGAGCAGCAGGTAGCCTCTTCATTAAAACAGGTACATTTTCTGGAAATATTGGTTGGAAATCAATTGCAAAATAACCAGATGAAACTTCAACACTGATAAACTACATACAAAAGCTTTTATTCACAACAAAGACCAAGTACTCTGTATAAGACTATAATAAACAACTTTTCAGAGAAAGAGTAGTTTTGGCCATAATATTTCTTGAAACTGCCATCACAAGTCATTGTATTGTAGGTTTCAAGTAAAAAGAAAAAAAAAAAAAAAAAAAAAAACCAAAATTAATTTTTGGTGAAAAAAAAATAAAAAA